AGGTGTTCGACGGTCACGAAGGAACCTTTCAGGACTGCTGGGCCGCGAGAGAGCCAATCTCCAAGGGCGACTTCGCTGGCATCTGTGACATCACCACCATGAAGAAGGCCATGTCGTGGGACTTCAGGTAGGCGAGGTCAGGGCTCCGGGTCTTCGGATGGGTGACCTCGCGAACTGGTCACTGGTCAGTGTTTATAATTGTTTTTGTTATCATAATTTTTATCATTATCATTATCATTATTATTAGCATTCTTATCAGTATTAATATCATTAATATCATTATTGTTGTTATTATTATTATTACCATTATTACTATTATTATTCATTATCATCACCATTGTCATTATTATCATTATTATTATCATCCATCACCACCATCCTCATTACCATCATTATTATTATTGACAGTATGAATGATATTGTTATTATTATCATTTTCATTGTTATCATCTTCATTATCAACATTATCACTATAATGAAAAAATAATAATAATCATTATTATTATTATTATTATTATTATTATTATTATCATTATTAGTACCATTACCATCATAATGGTAATGATAACAGTAATAGTAATAATGATAATGATAATGATAATGACAATGATAATGAAAATATTAGGAATGATAATAATGATAGTAATAATAATAATTATTATTATTATTATTATCATTATTATCATTATTATCATTATCATTATCGTTATCATTATTTTTTATCATCATCTTCACTTAACCCTCTTTCATTCATCATTTACATTTATTTTCAGCACTCTAGGTTTCTCTTATTCATTTTCTGTTACTTTCATACTTTCATCCATCTACTTCAGTGACTTCTTTCATCACTTAATCTTCTTTCATTCTTTTGTTTGTTTGCTTATTTGATTTGTACTACTCTCACCACTTTCTTTCATTCATTTATATTTACAGCTGCTTTGATTACTTATTTTTTTTCTCTTTCATTTTCTTTTACTTTCACCACTTTATCTCTTTTCGTTCATCTGTTTTCTCTGCTAATTTTACAACTTAATATTCTCTCATCCATTTTCTTCTACAACTACATTCATCACTTGATCTTTCACTTATTTGTTTTTACAGTTAGTTTCATCACTTAATATTCTCTCGTTCATTTTCTTTTAATACATATAGTACATCCCTTATCTTTCATCCATTTTTCCTTTATTAGTAAATACACCACTTAATCTTCTCTCGTCCATTTTCTTTTAGTTCAACATTTATCACTCCCTTCTTTCACTCCCCTGTTTTCTCTACCTTACCCGTTTCACCTACAGTTCAACGGGGAAATGCCACCTCTACATGTCCAGGGAACCGGCCTACAGCAACGTCATGATCGCTATGGCTTACAAAACGAACTCTACTTACAAGAAAGAAGCTAATTTTTGGTTAGTGGAGAGAGAGAGAGAGAGAGAGAGAGAGAGAGAGAGAGAGAGAGAGAGAGAGAGAGAGAGAGAGAGAGAGAGAGAGAGAGAGAGAGAGAGAGAGAGAGAGAGAGAGACTGGTGTTTTGGTGTGGCGTGAGTTGGTGTTTGTGGTATTCGTGGTGTAAGTTGGTATTGGTGGCGTGTGGTAGCGGGTTTTGTTTTATGTGGTGTTGGTGGTATTGGGTAGTTTCTGGAATTTGTGGTACTTGAACGTTTGTGGTAGTGTCTTTGGTATTGATGGCGGTATGATGATTTATGATGCGGATGGTAATGTGATGTAATGATTTTCTGTAATGGCGAAAAAGTTTGTTCGAATAAAATAAAATGAACAGGTAAAACAATATGATAAAACAGCTGTGAGAAATTAAGCATACTTCCCGATTTACGTAATTTTGTCCAAAAGTTGGAATCCAATAGCATCATGGCCATGTCAGACCTTTATCTTTACGACCTATTTTATCTCACCTTCTCTCCCCACCTTTTCTCACCCTCCTCTTCTCTCCGCCACCTTTTCTCCCCCCAACCAGGATCCAGAGGGTGAAGGAATCCGGCCTGATCGACTTGTGGCTGAAGAGGGAGATCACCAATACGACGCAGTGCCTCCAGCCTCCCTCAGCAGATAAGGCCTCGAGCCTCGTCAGCAGTTTGGATTTCAACTCCTTCATCGGGTCGTTGCTCGTGATGGTGGGCGGTGAGTAGGCCTATGCGTCGCTTCGTCTGGATTGAATGGCTAGATTTAGTTATAACTGGCAGATCGTATGTTTTCTTCTTTTTCTTCTCTTATTTTTAGTTTTTCACTTCCTTCTTCTTCTTCTTTTTTCTCTTACTTCTTTTCCTTTTCTTTTTCTCTTGTTCTTTTCCTTTTCTTTTCTTTTTCTCTTGTTCTTTTCCTTTTCTTTTCTTTTTTGTTCTCCTTGTTCTTGTTTTTGTCCTTGTCCTTGTTCTTGTTTTGTTTTCTTTGTTTTTGTTCTTCTTTTGTTTTTGTTTTTCTTTTGTTTGTTCTTTTTCTTGTTCCTGCCTTTCTAGTTCTTGTTCTATTTCTTCTTCGTCCTCTTTTCTTTTCGGACCAAACAACCCTTTCAATAAATAAAACAGACATAAGCTATCGCACCTACTTCACCTACTTGCAACAAAATAACACTCTAATAAAATTGACTCTCTCCGGAACTTTATTAACAGATCGTCTGTTGTCTCCTTCAGGCCTGGTTCTCTCCATGGTGGTCGCCCTCGTAGAGCTGTGTCTTGGATGGAGCAGGACGCGTACAGGCGATTAGGCACAAAGACGTTCTCGCAGACACTCAGAGCTTGTTGTTCCGGTTAAGTCTTTGAAACATGAAATCCGCGAGATTTTAGTAGATTTGCTTACGAATTTTATGCTGATTTCTGTATATAAGATGTACTCTGGATCCGCTGTATTCATCATATCTAAATCAAATATTCAAGAGAAAGTAATCTTTTAGTCTTTATCTTAATGCATTACACCGCTTTATGTTCCAACTGGCATATACAACATGAAAAAATCCTTTCACATCACTGAAATTCATTAGAAATGCGTAAGCGAAGGTACAGAAAGTTAGAGCTTGATATGTGTGTAATAAGCAAAATAGGATCAAAGTCAGAAATAAATATGTGTGTGTGTGTGTGTGTGAGTGTGTGTGTGTGTGTGTGTGTGTGTGTGTGTGTGTGTGTAAGTGTGAGTGTGAGTGTGTGTGTGTGTGTGTATGTGTGTGTGTGTGTGTGTGTGTGTGTGTGTGTGTGTGCGTGCGTGCGTGTGTGTGTGTGTGTGTGTGTGTGTGTGTGTGCGTGCGTGCGTGCGTGCGTGCGTGCGTGCGTGCGTGCGTGTGTGTGTATGTGTGTGTGTGTGTGTGTGCGTGTGTGTGTCTGTGTGTGTGTGTGTGTGTAGACAGAAAAATAGATAATCATATAGATAGATAGATATAGATACTAATGTCTGTATGTATATATATACGAATATGAAAGTCTCAAAAAGAGATTAAATACAAGAAAATAAAACGCTATGACTATGTACAAAAAAATTATGGTTTGACGATGAGATAGAAAACGGCATAACTTATAACGATTAAACGTAAAGGACTGTAAATGTCAGTTTAAAGTAAAGTAAGACCGTAAAATTAATTTTATAGACGGTGACAAAGGGATACTTAAAAAAACTAGAGCAGTCACCAATAAAGTATCTAGTAAAATAGCTCTTTTTCCTCTGTCTCTCCTTTTTTCCGCGACTTCCATATTCTGCAAGATGAATCAACAAAAAAACGCTAAACATACAAAAGACCAATATCCAAAAAAAACGACATAACCCACACTGATCTCGTCCGTACTATTAGAAGCGGCACTCACCACCACTCAAAAAAAGAAAAAAAGAAAATAAAAAAAAAATTAACAATATGCAAAGCAACAGTGACTCTGCAGACGCTGTCCTCGGCCTTGCACGAGAAGTTGTCCCTGGCGGTCGTGAAATTAGGGCTTGACTCCCCCCGCCGCCGCCGCCGCACTGAGCAAGCGACATTTAGCCTCGGCGCTCGACAACGGGACGCTACTCGGCGTGTCTGGCGGGTCGGGATGCTTCGAAGCGGACCGTGCCTTGGGTTCGGAATTCGATTTAGGCCCTCGATGTTTTGTAGCTCTTCATTTTTCTCTTCTTCTTCTTCTTGTCTTTTTGTCTTTGTACATATATATGTATGCATGTGTGTACTGTATATACATACATATGCATATATATACATATACATACATACTTACATATATATATATACATATATTTATATATATTTATTTATCTGTGTGTGTCTGTGCGTATGTATATATACATATATGTGTATATAGATAGATATAAATATATAGATACACACACACACACACACACACACACACACACACACACACACACACACACACACACACACACACACACACACACACACACACACACACACACATATATATATAGTCTTCTTCATGTGCCAGGTCTGCTCAGACATCGGTGACCATGTTTTAATTCCATGGTTGTACAAGAGAGTGTACGAAGGTGGTTTCCCGTTGCCTTCCTTCGGGATATATATATATATATATATATATATATATATATATATATATATATACATATATATATATGAGGATGGAATCCAGGTGGATTCCGAAACTGTCGTCTCATTTTCATTTTCAATAAATCTAGTTTTTACATTGTGGGTTTTTCTACCATATATATATATATATATATATATATATATATATATATATATATATATATGTATGTATGTATGTATGTATAAATGTATAAGCAAACAAGTATGTTAATAGATATACTGTATCAATACATACAATATATCAATCTGTCTATCGCTCTCTCTCTCTCTCTCTCTCTCTCTCTCTCTCTCTCTCTCTCTCTCTTTCTCTCTCTCTCAATCTGTCTGTCTATCTATCTATCTATCTTTCTATCTATATGTGTGTGTGTATTTATCATATTGCCGCCGGGGAAAATGAATAAAAAATGGGGAAAATGCTTTGCTCATTTTTTATATTTTTTTGTGAAATGTCTCTGCACATAGATGGCTTTACCTTACCTGATTTCACCTTTCCTTGAATTGGCGGGAAAATGTACTTATTTTACTAGTGCTATGAATATCGATGGTGTTATTTTTTTATTATAAACATTATAATTAATATAATGTTATAAACATTATTAATAATATTTTCGTAAATTAAAGAAAAGGGTAAACGGGCGAGACAGGCAATACTCGTAATTGACTTATTGGTGATTTAGGACAAGCGTAGCCATCCATACGTAAAAACAATTAAACAAGTAAACTCACAGTGGTCATGGCATGGACGTACGTAACATGCCCGTCGGGAATGGGTTAAATACATATGTGTATATGCATTCTTCTTCTTTTGCGGTAGCTTTGTCCCATCCTTATATAGGATCGCTATATAATCTGGATCTAGTAGACATTTATGACGGGATGCCCTTTCTGACGCCATCCTTTCTCTATATATATACATATCTATATATATACATATATACGTATAATATATATATATACTTATATATTTATGTATCTATCTATCTGTCAATTTATGTGTATATATATGTGTGTGTGTGTGTGTGTGTGTGTGTGTGTGTGTGTGTGTGTGTGTGTGTGTGTGTGTGTGTGTGTGTGTGTGTGTGTGTGTGTGTAATTATTATTATTATCATTGAACAGCCATTCATTCAACCGCAGGACTTCTCTCAGTCTATTATCAAGGTTATTTGGCAGTCCCACACTTGCCTGAAAGAATGCCTTTCCTAATCAACTGCGGGTTCAACGCACTGCTGTGTGTGCCATGGCGGCGACTTCTTCTACGATCTCTTAAAATATGTCATTTTTTCACCGTGAGAGTGGGGCTCGAGCTAGGAGGCGAAGTGCGGCCATTTCGTAACTGCCGCGGCGTGGAACTGAACTCGGGAGGACAAGGGTGAGTCCTGTGATTTAACCACTGGGCCATCGAGGCAGTCATATAAGTATGTATGTATGTATGTATGTATGTATGTATGTATATATGATATAATAGAATAGAATAGAATAGAATAGAATAGCATATAATATATATGTATATAATATATATATATATGCACATATACATAGACATACATGCACATATACATATACATATACATATACATATCATGCACATACATATATATACATGTAGATATGCTGATCCATGCGCGCGCGCGCACACACACACACACACACACACACACACACACACACACACACACACACACACACACACACACACACACACACACACAAAGTATATATAAATATATGTATATGTACTATATATAAATATATATATTCCATATATATATTTATATATGGAATATGTATATGTGTGTGTGTGTGTGTGTGTGTGTGTGTGTGTGTGTGTGTGTGTGTGTGTGTGTGTGTGTGTGTGTGTGTGTGTGTGTGTGTGTGAGAGAGAGAGAGAGAGAGAGAGAGAGAGAGAGAGAGAGAGAGAGAGAGAGAGAGAGAGAGAGAGAGAGAGAGAGAGCGAGAGAGAGAGCATGCGCATATTACATGGCACGGTTTCAATATGAAAGGTGCTCAGTGCTTTTCGAGTTCTCATATCTTGGTGTTTAGCGTAGGTCTTCTCGGGTCTTGGAACATATATTATTTTCTTTCCTAAGTTTGATGTTTTTCTTGTTAAGTTTTAATATATGTTTTCTTAGGGATCATTTTTTTATAGGAAAGTCATAGGCAATTCTATTTGAGTTTTACTTTTCGAAAATCTCTCTTGCTTGGTTGTTGGTGCTCTGCAATGCGTCCTTTCGCTGGCTTGTACATTCCTTATGCAACCAAATCTTATTTCCTTGCATTTTCATTCCATTTCCCTCATTATGGAAGCATATTTTTCTAACTCCCTTGCTCCTGCTGCTTCTTTCAGACTTACAAGTTTTTGTTTTGTTTTTGTTTTTCAATTTCTAAATATATTTCCGAAATTTAAGTCTTTTGGAACTAAGAAATCCACCAAAGGATTGAGAACCAACAAAGCTTTCGTCTCCATTAAATCTTCATAAGATTATAAAGATTTTCTGACATTTCTTGAATGTTGCAAAATAATGTTGATTTGCGTCGACATGGGGTGGTTAATGGTTACAAAACAAAACAAATGTGCTAGACATCAAAATCTATATAGCACTAGAGAAAAATATCGTTAAAGGGGTAAAGAAAGGTGCGAGTTGATCAAATGAACTACACGTCAAAAGTCCAATAGCAGTTTAGGATATATATGGTACTGAATGGAGGGGAGAGAAGGATGTGAGTAATGAGGCTGAGTAAATGATTTAAGGTTGGGATTAGCAAAAGTATGGTTAGATCTCATAGAGGATATGTATGCATCTGAGGAAGGAAAAGTTGTCGAAGGAAAAAGTGTAGGATTCTGCAAGGATGTCCATGGAGTAAGGCAGGGATTCATAAAAGGGGAAAGGGAGGTTAAGGGGGATTAGATCAAAGAGCAGTTTCAGGAGAAATGCCAAGCGGGAAAGGATCCAGGGAAGGGTCTCGTTGTGACAAAAGGCAGTCAGTCATATGTGCATCCATGAGGGAGCGGAAGGGATAACAGGGGCAGGACACTCCACCAGTATAAACTTCACGTGGGAGGTCATTCTCCAGAAGCTAATCTTGGCAATAGTGGTGTAGAACTTACGTTGGCCTGCCTTTGGGAGGAATCACGTAGCATTGCACTACCACTGCATCATAATCAACGAGGCAGGCATGCAGGTCGTTTTCACAATCTGAAAAGTCCTTGTCGTAGATAGGACAATCAGTCGAGGAGACGGAACAGTTCTGGTACAAGTATTAAGGGGGGAGTGAGGTTGGGCAGGAATAGATGAGGTCAGTCAGGGTAGATAATGCACGCTTTTGGGAATCAGATGTAAATGTAACAAGACGTAAACAATCGGAACGACTGCGAAAGTAAACTACTGTTTTTGGAGACAGTGTTGGAAGAAAAGGGACTGTATGGGGAATCACAAAGAACCGATAACACTTTTCTGGTCTCCAAAAGTACTCAAAAAGTTTGTAAAGGTGGAAGCAGTAGAAGAACGAGAGCGGGAGGAAGATGGGGTAGTGTGAAGTAAGGTAATACAGTGGGTAGGAGGACAATATGCAATAGTGGGGGAGGGGGTAGGCAATGAAGAAGACTGTGCAGTAGGAGATGAAGTGGATGATGTTGGGAGAGAAGGAGTGTATTCTCAGAGTTGAATAATGACCTGGGTGGATGACTCAGAATGGATAGATTTGACAGCAAACATCGAGGTGGGGGTATTGGAATCAGTGGTCAGAACCGTGATCAAAGGAGAATTGATGAAGGGGCAAGCATTAATGTCCCTAATAAAGATAAAATATCTTTATCATCAGCCATGCTGAACCTGAAATAAGTGGGAAAAAGGAACCGTCTGTCCATCTCTCCACGGCCTTGTAAGGGGAAGGGTCAGCCGATTAACCAAGAAATACCATACCCATGGCCTATTTTTCATTTAAATAAAGGATCTAAAAAAACAACAACGAACATTGCCTTGTAGTTTATTTATATGTATTGAACACAGTTGACAAAGTTTACAAAGGAACAAACATCCTAGCACTAATCTTATCCACTACAACAGATGGAAGAATTGAAGACATCATATTTGACATTAATATCAGAAAATATGTCTGTAGTTTGGACCCTTGTAGGAGTTATAGATAAAATTGAGACTATTATTTTTTATCACACTTTTATGGCACACTGTCATTACTTTGTTATCCAACTTCTGATCCAGAACGAGTGGCTTAAGAGGAGGATGAGCACCAGGGAAGATTATTACATTTTAGTCTAATATATTTTGAAGAAGCCTCGAGAAAAAAAGGGAAATTCGCACCCTGCCCAATACAGCAGCGACCAAGAATCTCTCACCACAAGCTATCTTCTGCCATAGTCCGTGCATCAGATTCTGGATACAAAAATTCCTGATGTTTTGGTTTGCACCATTGACTTAGAAAAATAATATATTCAAAGGACTTGGAGCATATGATTTTGAGGAATCAAGTAACTGTCAATAATACTGACTTAATGCAAAATAAACCACAAGTCTAGAACGAATTCCAAATGTTATCAATCGGATCACACAATCCCTATAATGCATCACTAGCAGACGCCCTATAATGCCATCCAAAACCCGGAAACCAAATTCTATTCGTGACTGGCACCAACTATAGCATATAAAAAAGTTCAAATAAAAAGTACAGTATAAAGTTGAAAACATATAAAAGGTTCTGGAATGAGCAAAATCATTTGTTACAGATAAATTTACAAGAAATCCCATATCACAAAGGGCAGATGGAACACCTTGACGATATGGTGTAATGATTCTCCCAATGCTAAAATAAATCTACTTGTAAATGTTTATCAAGCCACCGGTACTTTAGTTCCACATCACTTAAACACTTTACTAAAAATATCAAAACTGGTCATTATGTAGTGAAATTCTCTTGAAACCACAATACTAACCACCAGTATTTCTTTAATGTTATTCTAGAAAATCTATACAGAAAATATGAATGCTTGTACCTTACTTGTGGTGTAAACATACTCCAAAGCAAGAAGCTATCATGGGGATGCAATATTTATATTTGAACAAGCAACTGACGATATATCAAGGTTTACATTACCTTCTGTACCATTGCTCAATGTGTGAATTGAATGAAATGCCCTCAAAGCATGGTGTAACCTTAGAAGAGCCTCTTCTCATAGTTAAACAGACTGTGAACATTACCCTCACGCTGAGCTGAAACTGTGCGTTTTTCAAACTTCAGTTCACCTGCATACATCATGGATCTGCAAACAAATGGTTGATAGAGAGTTAAAAAGGTACAGGTTTCTATAGGCTCATAACTGGACTTGAACTCAATTTTTTTTTTATTTTTTATTGTTTTTGTTTTTTTTGTTTTTTTTTTACAGAATCTTAACCCTTACATTTACAAAAAAAAAAAAAAAACTTTGGTAATCTTATCAAGTCGGTATTACACTTAGCATATACATTGTAATGTAAAAAGTTTGAACATGTATTTGAAAACAAAAAAAACATGACCAAAATAATTCATTAAAACATCCCGACCCTGACATTATGTATTTTATCTTCTCTTCTTGTTTCAAAGTACCATCTGAAGCTCATACCTGTTGGTTAGCATCGATCTCCTCTAAAATAATGCAAGTGTCTTCCAGGGATGTTATATACCCAACACACTCAAGTAGACACACAAACCTTCACACTTGAGATTCAGCAATTACTTCAGACCATACATGTTCTCAAATTAGGTCTGAAAAGCCCCACACACACATCACAGCATCAAACAAAACAGAAGAAAAATATACATATTACATTTCATCCAAAACTTCTTGTTCAATAGCACTTGACAATAAAAGGATTAAAAAACAGAGAGCTACAGAGCAGAGACAATGGTGTAAATCACTGTAAACCAACGACTTACTTGTTATGCCACTATCAAAACAAGATACTAAATACACAGTGCTATAAAATCAGCTCAAATTACCATGAGAGTGAAAAACTTTGGAAAGTCTACAGGTTATGGGATATCTGAAATTCCTTGTTGAAAGACATGAAAAATATCACATACTACACTTGAAATATTATTGGTCACCCAGAACTAACATAACACTAGTCATTTAATATAACAATCCTCAGGCTGTCATGTTACATCACGGGACCTTTGAACTCGAGCAAAATATGACCCCTGTGCTCACAAAAAAAAAAATCATAATCTATAATAGACTTTGAAGGAGAATGAACAATTTTTTTTTTCTTTTAAGAATGTACATCTTGTTTTATATAATAAATCTGAGGAATATTGTAAAATCATTTGCTAATATATCAAAAAATATAATCAACCATGCTAAAAAATAATAATAACAATAAGTATATTCAAATTTCATCAGCTCATCAATATATATAGAGTCAATGCACACTGTTCACATAATATTTGGCACAGTACATGGAGAGAGATGCATTACTCAGCAATTTGAACAAGTCACAGATAATTATTGCAAATATACTTTTAAATAATACATTAAAAACGTTACAGTCCATACTCTATGACTGAGGATCTAAGCACAGTTTCAGTCACTTTCCAACACTTGATTGACTTGAAATTCTTTATCTTACTGTATACTTGAAAACATTACACTACCTTCAACATTCTACATTATGGAAGTTGTCTTTCAGTTTTGTACTTTGCAAGTATGGTATAGCAAAGCAGTTTTTAAAATGCTTTGTCAGATCTAACATCACTCAATCTCTGCCTCATTATCTATGAATAGCAGCTATTTTGTCCAAGTAATCAAAATATACTTTAAAAGAAGAGGCAAATGTTATACTCTGAAGATGCTACTTGAGAATTTGCTTCATTAACAAATACATGGGACCACATCCCACTCAAGTTAACAAGACGAAGTAACTTGGGAAGTCAATCAAGATTTGGATTAAAAGGAAAAAACAAAACAATGGCAAATACCACATACAGGCTGATCTCAAGAAATGCCCAATAATAAGGATTAAAATGTTCTCAAGATCATAATTTGAGGTTCACAATTATATTCACATTATGGTTTCATACTTAATGGGACAGTTCATAAGCATTACCCATGATCTTTTACAATACACACAGCAAACTGCCTCAAAAGGATACTCCCACATCAGAAATGTAAGCATAAACATCAGTTTACACAAATGCACCCACATTCATACAACACAAGGATGAACTGACAAATAATTTTTTGATGCATACTGCCTTTTTTCAAAAACTCGACATCCTACAACTATATCAGCTACACCCTAGACTTTAAATCTACTAGTTTGCTTTCTTTCAAACATTGTTAAGGACAACAAAAATATATATCTGTAATAATTCCTTGTTGAAGACATGAAAAATATCACATACTACACTTGAAATATTATTGGTCACCCAGAACTAACATAACACTAGTCATTTAATATAACAATCCTCAGGCTGTCATGTTACATCACGGGACCTTTGAACTCGAGCAAAATATGACCCCTGTGCTCACAAAAACAAAATCATAACCTATAATAGACTTTGAAGGAGAATGAACAATTTTTTTTTCTTTTAAGAATGTACATCTTGTTTTATATAATAAATCTGAGGAATATTGTAAAATCATTTGCTAATATATCAAAAAATATAATCAACCATGCTAAAAAATAATAATAACAATAAGTATATTCAAATTTCATCAGCTCATCAATATATATAGAGTCAATGCACACTGTTCACATAATATTTGGCACAGTACATGGAGAGAGATGCATTACTCAGCAATTTGAACAAGTCACAGATAATTATTGCAAATATACTTTTAAATAATACATTAAAAACGTTACAGTCCATACTCTATGACTGAGGATCTAAGCTACAGTTTCAGTCACTTTCCAACACTTGATTGACTTGAAATTCTTTATCTTACTGTATACTTGAAAACATTACACTACCTTCAACATTCTACATTATGGAAGTTGTCTTTCAGTTTTGTACTTTGCAAGTATGGTATAGCAAAGCAGTTTTTAAAATGCTTTGTCAGATCTAACATCACTCAATCTCTGCCTCATTATCTATGAATAGCAGCTATTTTGTCCAAGTAATCAAAATATACTTTAAAAGAAGAGGCAAATGTTATACTCTGAAGATGCTACTTGAGAATTTGCTTCATTAACAAATACATGGGACCACATCCCACTCAAGTTAACAAGACGAAGTAACTTGGGAAGTCAATCAAGATTTGGATTAAAAGGAAAAAACAAAACAATGGCAAATACCACATACAGGCTGATCTCAAGAAATGCCCAATAATAAGGATTAAAATGTTCTCAAGATCATAATTTGAGGTTCACAATTATATTCACATTATGGTTTCATACTTAATGGGACAGTTCATAAGCATTACCCATGATCTTTTACAATACACACAGCAAACTGTCTCAAAAGGATACTCCCACATCAGAAATGTAAGCATAAACATCAGTTTACACAAATGCACCCACATTCATACAACACAAGGATGAACTGACAAATAATTTTTTGATGCATACTGCCTTTTTTCAAAAACTCGACATCCTACAACTATATCAGCTACACCCTAGACTTTAAATCTACTAGTTTGCTTTCTTTCAACATTGTTCAGACAATCAAAATATATATCTGTAATAAATCAAAGTATATATTTTTGGAAGAAAATGTAGTTTTGCATACTGCAAGCTTCTTCGACTTCTATAACAGAAAACACTTTCACATATCATATTTCACAAACTGCATCTGTCCTTGTGCTCGTAAAATGTCATGTCCAACTGCTTTTATTGTACAATAGGTATTGTGCTGATTTCATTCAACATTTGCAAATACAACTGTATTCATTCATTCATACTACTAAAATTGTACACTGTACCACAAAGAAAGATTCTGTAGTTAAATATCATATCACTGACACATGATCACATCACAGATCAAGCTCCTATATGCAGAAGGCAAAATCAATAATGTAGTTAAGATTCATAAAAAGAAAGTGAAAGAGAAAGACTTTTTTCCTTTAAGCATTCAACCTCCTGCTACACTCAGTCCCTGACAACAGATTTTTGGCACGTTGATTGGTGATTAGTAAAGCCGCTTCTCGTACGAATGGAGACTATGCACTGCACCTTCTTTCTGTGCAGAGACAGTGCGCCTCTCTAATTTCAGCTCACCACTATACAGCATGGCCCTGGTCAGTTGAGAGGGATTGTTTTAGCCGACCTGTACATAGGGTAATCACTCTGAATGTGTTGGGAAATTTCTCCATAAGATGAAAAAGTTCATGGAAACCCCTGACCAGCTAAGCATTAGGACAGGCAATTCCTTAGGCTGATCAGTAGGTAACAACATCAACTCAGCATCTTACCAAATGAAAGAAACCAAACACATTCACAGAATGCAAGACAAAAAGGACAGTGATTCTGCCCTGTATAAAAAAAATGTCATTCCAGCAGGGTTAGTTAAAAAAATAAATAAATACATTTCTTTTAACAGACATTAATATTACAAACCATACAAGGGACTAAAAGGTTGGAGAAATATATAAATATATATATAGATATAGATATATTACTTTTAAAATAAGATTAAGACTATGTATCTAATTCAAAAATTTTCAAAAAGTTTGCTATAGTTTGTTATATTATAAAAAAAACAGTGGGAATATTATTTTTATCATTATAATCAACCACTAACATCACTTGAACTAGTAAAGGAAATGTAAAATAAGCAATACAGGAAATACATACCAAGGAAAAAGCAGTCTCCTTATCTCTAAAAAGTAAATATTGAAGAAAGTAATGAAAGAGATCACAGAAAGTTGCAAATTCCAAGTAAGAGTTGGTAAAAAGTTGTAAAATTTTTTTCACCATAAGAGATAAAGGATGTCTGAATTCACAAAAGCTAACAGCATAATACATGAAATGAGAAAACACCTTGAAAATCACGGAATGATGAAATTCATGTTTTTGTCAATTAACACAATTTTACAAACACTAGCCTAAATATTGCTTGCACATTATGACATAACCCTTAACCATTAAGCACTATGCATAGCTTCTACCATACACAATTTTCATTTCTCTAAAATCCTTTGAGCTATATCTAACCAAATTATTTTTAGGCTATTTATGAGAAAAATACCAAGTCAATAATAATAAAAGAAATATTGTTGATACACTACTAATATATATATATATATATATATATATATATATATATATATATATATATATATATATATATATATATATATATATATATATATATATATATATATATATATGAACATATGCATATATATACATATATATATGCATATATATACATATATATATGCATATATATATGTGCATATATATACATATATATATGCATATATATATACATACATATACATATATATGAACATATGCA